GAAATGGGATTATGATGGTAATGTTTGCTGCACTGTAATTAAGGTGGTGTCAGGACTTTCATTAAAAAGTGTGTTTTTGTTGAGGGACTACGGCTTGGAGAAAATTTTTGCTTGAGGCTGAAATATAACATGGTTCTCAGCCAGAAAACACATGCACAACCTTTATTATATATGTAATTTAGATCTTTAGTCTCGGCTGTGAAGGCTCTGCTATTGTTTCCATAGGGGTATGTAGCTAATTGGTTTAAAAAATTAGTTATTAAAGAAGTGAAAGACTGAATTCTGTTCTGGAACCTCTGTATGTGACGTGTCCCCATTAATTGTCTGCAATTAACTCCAAAAACCAAAGGCCAAATGCTGCCCTTTTTACTCAGAAACACAATGTTATTGAAGTAAACAGCTGGAAACAGGATTGGGCACCTGTGTCCAAGTTTTTACCTCACTACAACCCAAGGCCTCTCCCACATTATAACAATTCTACTGAACGTGGGGCAGAGATTATTTCCTTGCAAAACTGGCAATCTATGGGAAGCCTATTTCCAGAAACAGTATTGAAATTCCTATTATCACAGCACCCAGGATCTCCGATAAGGAACCACAACCCTGTGCACTAGGTTCTGTGCAAAAACACAGAATAAAAACCCAGTATATGATAATGCACACCAACAAATCCTTTCCCCCATTTCGTGGCCAGGTTTGTATTATTTCTGTTAAGTAATCTGAGTGTAACACACCACTCCTGCAAACAGCAAACACTGCTCAGACATTTATTTAACTTTCTGCATGATAAAGTCCCAACTTCACAGCAATCTATTGTCTTTCCCCAGGGGTGCACACAAAGGGGCCAACTACTGCCCTGGGTTCTTGCTGCTGGCTCTGGGGTTTTTCCAGCTATCTGCACTTTTTGGCACACACTGCTTTCAGGTACTAATTTGATTTTCCTCAAACTATTTGGATTAGAACCCCCACACAATTAATAGTATTATAGTCACAAAATATAATTTCTCTGCTGCCCACCACCACATAGATAAAAGAATACTGAAGTTTATAAAATTACAGTTTTTGTAAATGTGTAAACTAGACAGGAATTCACAGAGAACGGAACAGAAGTTCCTAAGTAACTTGGAGATATTTATGTGACTTTACAGGGATGCTAAAAAATACAACATAACATAGCACTATTCATTGTTCCTCCTAAGAAAAAATTATATAAATTGCAAGTTTAGGAAGAATTTAAATATTTCTGCAAATGTGTAAAGAACAAACTTTAATCAGGAGGTAGTTGTCTTCAGTGAACCTATTTATGCATCTAGTTACTTATCTGCCTAATTTAGCATCCCCAGGATCATGGCCTCAGTTTGGAATAACTTAATGAATTTCAGTAGAGTGCCTCAGCTACCACTTGTAAAAATAGGATGATTCAAATGCAAATCAGTGCAAACATGTGCAAAATTAACATTCCTAATAGACAAAGCTTCTCCATATAGGAAGGTATTATTAATGCTACTACCAGAGGTAGGCAAGCATAATTCCTCATGTGGACAAACTCAATCCGAGCACCTTTTTTTTGATTTCACATAAATAAATTAAAGGAATTAGACTTAATCTTTAAAAAAAAGAAAAAAAAAAAGCCAGAAGATGTGAGAATGAGTGAGTCTGCATGAGGGTTACACTACAACCACTGGTTTTAAATTCACACTCTGGCGTGCACAAAAAGAACATTTTTTTATGAAGATAAAAGCCTCCACGTGTAATAACTCGATATATAGACAAGCCCTAGGGGCTTGCATCTTGAGCACTTAACATTTTTGGCCTCATCTTAATGGATAAAAAAGGTGTGTTTCTCAGTCACATTAGCCCAGTCAAAGGAGCTTAATATGATGAAAAGGTTGTAGGGTTTGGTGAGGCTGAGGTGTAAAGGTGTGAGGCAGCAAATCCATCACAGCCTGGGCACTGCTGCCTCCAGCACACTCTGAACTGGTCAGGGGCAGCAGGCAGGGATGGGAAACTGGGATGGGGAACTGGGATGGGGAACAGGGATGGGGAAATGGCAGGGATGGGCAGCAGGGATGGGGAAATGGCAGGAAGGGATGGGGAGCAGGGAGGGATGGGGAACTGGCAGGGATGGGGAGCTGGCAGGGATGGGGAGCTGGCAGGGATGGGGAAATGGCAGGAATAGGGAAATGGGAGGGATGGGGAGCAGAGATGGGGAGGACACAAGGATGGGGAGCAGGGAGGGATGGGGAGCTTGGCCTGTGTCAGCCCCACGTTCCTACAAACTGGATCCATTCATGTGGGGTGCAGCTGCTGTCCAAATTGAAGTCTGGATATTTCATGGAGTGGAGCAGGTGAGAAAACATCAACTAGAATGAAATGGTTTTTCCTCGTGGGCTGTGAATGCCTCTAAACAGAGCAGTTAGATGGATTCTAGGCAAACTGGACCTCCACACTATGTGCACTGCTCCAGAGCCCCTGGTAACTGGAATTCTCCAGCTGTCTGGGAATGCTGCTCAGGATGAGAAGTGAGGCTTTTGCCCCACCATGGCAGCAAAAAGCATCTCCCCAAACTGCTGGGAAAGTCCCCAGTGCTGAAGGAAGGGTGTGTGTGCCATACCCACTACCCAGGCTGTGCTGCTGCCTGAAGTAAGGCAGATCCACGAGATGACAAGTAAGCAAAACTGATGAAAAGAAGAAACAAACACTTCAAGTTTGAAACTAGGCTTCCACAACACATTGGTTAGCATACGACAATTAGCATATGCTAACATTTTTTGTAGCCCAGCCAAGTTTAGTACAAATTAACCAGAAGTCACGTATTTGCATGATGTAATCCTGATTTTGTCACTTGATTTAGGCTTTGTCTAGAACCCTTTTAAATTATCTTGGTCTTGGTTTTTATAACTGAAAAAAATCCAGTAATTTGGCTACTTCTGGACTACCTGGATGAATATAAATGCAGATGCAAAACAAGTATCACAGGCAGCTGATGTGGTTGCTGCACTCAGCTGCCCCTCCACCTTCATCCTGAAGTTTGCTACAAGGAGAACCATATGGGATGTGAGCAGCACCAAACTGTCTGCAGTTCTTGGAGCAGCACACTGAAGTAAGCAGATGTTGAACACAGTCAATTACCAATTTAGCACAGGGTAAGACAAAGTGGTTCAATATCCTGAACATTTGAATGTTAGCATGTTGCTGGTGGAGCTTAAATGCAGGTTTTGTGATAACTTGGATGTTTCTGTATTGGGAACACAAGTGAGAAGAAAACAAAAATTAAACTTTTATTTGGTTCATGTAGTAATGGATGATCATTAAACTGGCAGAGTTCTGAATTAATGTCATAAAACAGAAAGTATCTGGATCCCATTCCTGATATAATCCAGAATAATTTTCTTATTATTTATGTTCCATACACCGCTTTAGTTGTATAAAGACAAAATTATATTTATATTCCAGTTGTCATTTTCCTTTAATTGTAACAGAATAATTTTCCTTAACTAGCTTATTTACAACAACATCCTGTCTTCAACTTCTTCTGTTATGAAAGTATTTGTTATTAAGCACATTGGGACAATTTAGGATGTTTTGAAGTTAAAACCACTAGCATGCCTTTTTTAATCAGAACTGCAAGGATCTCACTTACATTTCAGAAACAATTCCGAAACTACAGAAATGTTTATTTTAAGGAAGGCTAGAATGTAAAATTCTAGTTGAAAGTTTCAACACTGCCTGCCCTTGAAAGTTTAAAGAAAAGCAGGTGTGTCAGCTCACCTGAGATAGTTTACAAGGAACTAGAGGATCTCTTAACATTCAGCAAAGCAGAAAACCTGTTCATTCAATATTATATATTTGCTGCAAAAGCGTGTGTTTTCCAGACAACGAAAATTTATAATAGGTGGTTAGTGTGGCCAAGGTATAAACGTAAAAATTTTCCTGACAGAACTGTTCAAATATCCTGAATCAACAAAGCACTCCCACACTGGATTTATGTGTGGTGACACGTCTGCCAGCTCGTCCCTCTGCCTTCTCCGAGTGACAGCAAATACAGTTTCCTACAATTCCATCTCCGCCTTGGGTTCCTGCTCACGAGTCTGTCTCAGTCCTGCACAGTTCTTCACACCTTTGATTGCCCCAGCAGCGGCTGCAGCTGCTCACAGCACAGACCTGCCCAGCTGTGTTTGGACACGTCAGGAGATAAGGCACAGCAGCAGAACTCATAGGCTACGTCCCTAATTCTCTCCTGTGCTAAACCACACTACACCAACGCTGACTTAGTCCTGCCTCCACTCCTGTTTTATATTGTGGTAACTAAATACACACATAATTAATGTATTAACAAAAACGAAAGGAGAAAAAAAAAATTTGAGTTACACATCTTTGTATAAGACCCACACCTCAAAGCTCAGCCACTCGCAGGTGATGCAAAGGTACTAAAAAACATTTCCATGGGGGCACTGGATGAACAATGCACAGACAAGGGAACTCGGTGATTTCACCAGACACGTTTGTTCCATGGGATGTGGCAGCTATTCCCCACACACCAAACAGTTGATGTGAGCCCACGGTGTGCTCACATATCACAGCTCCAATCAATTGGCACACGCAGAGTGGCTCTGACACGTCCAAGGCTCACCCAGGCCGTGGCGCATGTGCACTGTGTCCGCTCACGCACAGCCAGCGTTTCAGGAGATGGCCATTTGTTTTTTAGTGGACCAGATGGCAACCTGGCAACTCCAGCAAATGCCACACCAGCCATCCCACTGTGCAGAGATGGTGGCCTTTTCCTTCCCTCTCCCTGCCCCTTTTGCTCTCTACTCCACCCAAGCCTGGGCCTGTATAGCATTAAATGTTTTCAGTTAAATATGTTAACTTGTCCGCGTTAACAAAATTCAAAGACACTTTCTTCTGTCAGACAACATGTAAACACATTAAGATCCTGTATCTGAAACTCTATGAGCAGTATACCCATGCTGTTATTTGCAGACTTCGTAATACAAACATTTAACTCAGGATGTATCCTTTTATTTGGCATAAATGAGTACATTTCCAGTGATAGGGCCAAGAAAGCAATACCAACAATCCAGCTGCTCTCCTTGCATGGTTAAACAATAGGGATGGCTCCATACAATTTTATATGTATGTAAGTAGAAACAAATGTGTTACTTTCTAATGCATTTCCTACATTATATGAAAATGTCACAAAGGTCTACTTAATTACTCACAAACCTAAAAAAGGAATCAACAAAGGTTTTATTATTAAATGGTTCTGAAGAAACCAGGCCAGCAAAAGTCATATTTGCCACAGCATACCATTTAATTTTGTATTTTGACGCTGACAAGTGAAAAATTGGGGAAGGAAAAGCAGTGAAAAGGTCTGGATTGCTTTATTTTTACTTAAAAAAACACCAGCGACTAACAGCCCCTCCTTCCCTCTTTGTACCTGTGCGATACCCCAGGCCATTTTATCAAGTGAGATTCAAACAGAAACCTAAAAACCACTGGAAACACGCTCCGTGCGGGGCTCCCGGGATGTGTTTACTCGCACCCTTGGGGCTATCGCTCCGCACCACGTCTGCAGGTCCGGCGAAGTTCCCGAACCCGCCCGCCCAGCACCGTGCGCGCCGTTCGGTGATTCAGCATCCGCGCCCCGAGCCCGCTCCGGCCCGGGAGGGAAGGAGGGAGGGAAGGAGGGAGGGAGAGCCGGCCGGGCCGGGGCCCCGCGGGGCCGGCTCAGGGCTGCCCTCGGGGCGGTGCCCGGCCGGGGGCCCCGGGCCGGCGGCCGCGCTCCGCCGGAGCCGCTCCCGGAGGAAAGTCCGGGGGCGCGGCCGCTTCCTCGCCCCGCGGCCGGACTTCTCTCCGGCTGCGAGGCCGCGGCGCTCCCCCGCCTCCCCTCGGAGCCCGAGTCCCCGCTGGCCTCCGGGACACGTTAAATCCCGTGTAATGAGGCTTAACCCCGCCCCGCAGCCGGGCGGGCAGGCAGCCAGCCAGCCGGGCCCCAGCCCGGGGAGCCCCCCCGCCCCCAGCGCCCGCAGCTGTTCCAGCCGGAGCTGCTGGAAAGCGGCCACGCTCCCCAGACTTTGTCTCCCTCGCACACAGCGCTGAACTCTGCTCCCTCCCTCCTTCCCATCCCCCGGGGCGCCCGCGGCTCCCCCCGCCTGCACCGCCCCGAGCCGCAGACGCGCGGCGGGGGAAGGGGGAGCGCTCCCCCGCCGGGCTCCGGCCGCCTGCCCGGGGGCTCCGCGGGGCTCGGGGCGAGCAGCGAGCGCTGCCCGCGGAGCCGCGTCCTGCGGAGGGCAGCCCGTGTACGGCCGCTCGCATGCAGAAGGGACTTTTCCTTTTCCACGGGGAAATAAATAAAAAGAAATAACGAGGGTGGGGGAGCGCTGGGGCAGCGGTGCGGGGTGGGGTGCGCAGAGCTCCCCGTGGCGCCGCGTCCCGTCCGGGCCCCGCTCCGCGGTTTCCCCGCAGCCCGGCGCGGCCCCAGCCCAGCCCGTGAGGTCGGCGAGGCGGCGGATGGGTGTCTGCGCCGGGGGACGGGCGGTGGGCGGGCGGGGCAGGCGCAGTGTGGGGCCGCGGCAGGGGAGGAGGAGGAGGGCGGGCGGTCGCTGTGTCTATGTGTCGCACTGGCGGGGGGGAAGGGAGTCGGGGAGGCGGGGGTTACACACCAGGGCAGCGCCGGGATCCCTTCTCCACCCCGCGGGGAGGGGGCAGGGCGCCGCCTACCTCCTCCTCCTTCCTCCTCCCCCTTTTTCACCCTTCCTCCTCCTTCTTTCCCCAAAGTTAAACTTCCTGCTCCCGGCCCGGCTGGGAAGGGGACGCGGAGCCCGGCCGGACTCAGCCCCTCGACACACACAACAGCTGGAGCTGTCAAAACTTCCTCCGCTCGGCCTCGGCCCCCGCCGCCTCCGCCGCCGCCGCCCGCTCCTCCTCCGCCCCCGGGGGCTCTGCGCGGGGGGAGGGCGCAGGGCCAGGGTACAATGAAGCGGCGGCCGCCGCAGCCGGGCAGCGCAGCAGCCGGAGCCGCCGCCAGCGCCCGGGGCCTCTGAGCGGGGGCGCCCAGCGGCGGGACCAGCCGCGTCTCCGCCGCTCGCTCTCTTCACCTCCCCCAGCCCCGACAGACCCCGCCGAGCCCGGGGAGGGTGTTATTGTGTGTGAGACCCTTCCTTCCGTCCTCTGCGCTTTCTCTTCGCCCCCCCTTTCCCTCCTCCTCCTGCTCTCCCCATGCTGCTCCCCCTGCTACCTGTGCTGGTCGGCGGCGGCTGAGGCCAGCGATGCGAGGCGGAGGTGGAGGAGGCGGAGGTGAGGAGGAGAGGAGCCGCGGGAGCAGGAGGAGCATCGGGATCCCCATCACCATCCTCATCTTCATCCTCATCATCATCATCCATGTGTCTCTCTCGTCCTGCTGACTAGGATGTCAACGGAGGACAAGAGTCTGGTGGTGGCGGTGGTGGAGCCGCCTCAGCAGCAGCAGCAGCCCCCCGAGCCTGGAGCTCCCCCCCCAGCAGCAGCAGCAGCAGCCACAGACAAAAGACCTAGGGGCCGGCCTCGCAAAGATGGCGCTTCCCCTTTCCAGAGAGCCAGAAAGAAGTAAGTTCAGCGTTTGTGTGTGCGAGGCAGAGAGGGGCCGGGGCAGGCGGCCAGGCGCAGGCAGAGCTGTCAGTGGAGACTCGCTACTCGCCCCCTCCCTCTGCCTAATGCCATTTTGAGAAGGGCCCTTCTTTCTTCTCCTCCTCTCCCCTTTGCACTTTCCCCTCCTCCTCCTCCTCCTTTTTCACCTTTGTCTTCCTCCGCCCGCTCTCCCTTTTCCACTTTTCTTTCACCATCCCTATTCCTTTCTTCTCCTCCTTCTTCGGAGTTTCTCTTTAGCTCTTCCCCCTCCACCCTCTTCCTCCTTTTTCCCTTGCCTTTGCACCTTCCCCCTTCTTTTTGGGTCCGTTCCCTTCCAGGACGCTCGGCTGCCTTCAGCGTCGCCTGGGTAGTCCCTGTGCGCTGACGGTAGTTCCTCGTCGCTTTCCCTTGTTATGCCCCCCCCCTCTCCTTCCCTTCCTCTTTTTTTGGGAAGGAAAACACGGTTCTCGGCGGGTGGCGGGGGGGACACCGCCGCGTCCCCCGCGCACACGCGGAGTTGAGGCAGGAGTTTCTCGGCGGCGCGGGGGGAGCTGTCAGCGGCCGCCGCTCGGAGGGACGCGCCGGCGGGACGGGGCCGGAGCACAACAAACACCCGGCGGGAGGGGGCGGAGGATGGCGGGGGGAGCCGGTTCCCAGCCGCTGGAGGATGGCGGGGGGAGCCGGTTCCCAGCCGCTGGCAGCTCTCCCTCCGCCGCGGCCTCTCCCCGCCCGCCCCAGCGCCTCCCCCGCTCCCCGGGGGCCGCCCCGCTCCCGCAGCCTCGGGCGGGGATCCCGCCGGGCCGGGCCGGGCCGGGCCGGGCAGCGCTGCCCGCGGAGGTGCCCGCGGTGCTCGGGGAGAGGCCCCGGCGGCCGCTGCCCGGGAAGCGCCGCTGCCGCGCTGGCTCCGCTCCCCGCGGGTTATTTTTGAGTGGGATGGAGCTTGCCATGGCATAGCTGATGGCAGCGGTAATAGGGCAAAGCTGGGCGGCACGTTCGGCCGAGGAGCGGCAGGAGGTGACCAAAGCGGCTCCTGCGCTGTGCGGTCCGTCCGAGCCTCGGGGTTCAGAGGTTGTTCCCTTTGTTTTGGGGGACGCGCTCGCTTTGACAGTGCCGTGTTTGTCCTGGCGCTTCCTTAAACATCCTGGCCCACCCCAAACATCACTGTTCATTTCCGTGCCAGAATCATTTCGGTTGGAAAAGACCTTTAAGGTCAAGCCCGACCATAAGGTCACAGTGGAAGTCCACAACATGAGGAGGGATTCTGCTGGGCTGGACCTAAACACATGCAAGGACCATGCATCCTTTATATGAGTTCGTTTTTACAAATACATAAGTATCCCAGGACAGAACTATCATTAGTTTGGGATACATGATTTTTTGTTCTTGTTGTTTCTTTTGATGAAAGTTTACCTGCAAAGATTTTCATGTCACCTCTGGTTTTGGGGAAGGGTGTGTTGTTTCCAGCTTCCTCTTTTCATTATCTTATGTATTTTCCTGATAGAATTTTTAATACAGCAGTCATTGAAAGTAGTTGGCATACGTACACGTGGTGAAGTTCTTGCATTCTTCTTTATGCTTAGTTTTACGTACTTTGGTTTTATTTTTACTTACAGAATCCAAACCTTAGATTGGAAACCTTTGAATGTTTTATTTTGAAGGAAATTTTTCTGAAGAAAAATGCAAATGCAACTGAAATGTACCTGTCTGCCCAAAAAACCTAAATAGTCTTATGTGTGAAAATTGACATATCTTGTTAGGCCAGTTTGAGGTTGTGTATGCACTCTTGAGGAAAAAAAAGTGTGTGTTAAAGAGGTAATTCTGTGCCTTCACATAGGTTTTTGGTGTCATGGGAATGTTGTTGCCTAGGTTTTGGGAGAATTAAAATATTCCTGTAAAATAGGAACTTATGCTGAGATGATTATAAGGATTTGTGTAAAAGTGGGAAATTAAATTAGCTGAGACAAAAATTAAAATGAATCAATACTCTTTTTGTTCACACTGATTGTTCCTGGCTGACATGGTGCTCTCTGTTCTGCTGCATCTTTCTGCAAATCCTGTACTTTTGGTAAAGGCATTATGCTTTTGAAGTCTTAAATGCTTTTGAAACTAGAGTTTTATAAAAAATTGTTATTTCTAGCGTGCACAGCTTAAATGTTGACTGGTGGTTTAGTTGCATCCATTTTGGGAAGAAAATGGTTTTATTTTGTAAGTTTTCCTATTTACAAAATACAGATTACAACTAGCCTAGCAAATACAGAAATGAGACAACTAAAACTATTTTCTGTTTTGTCCTTCAGAGTGCTTGGTCCTGTCTTCACTTCTGTGCTTTACAGTTGGATTAATGTGCCTCATGTAAACCAGATAAAAGAGCATATGTCAGACCATTTTCTGTACTGTAATCACATGTCTAAATCACTATTAGCCAGTCAAATTGTTCAACTGCTTTATCCCATTATAGGAAATGTTCCACTGAATGTTCAGTCTAAGTGCAGTCTAAGTAATGATAAAACGAAGAGAGAGCCCTGCATTAAACTGGCAAAGCCAGAATAGAATAATTCCTCAGCTCTGGATGCCTCCATTAAACAGCAGTGCCATATTGGAGAGTGCTTTAGGTTGGTACTTTACCTTCTTTGAAGGCCATGTTTTTAAATAAATTTGATGAGTTTAAGCAGACAGATGGAAAACTGCCTTGAGTCTGCCTGTGTGAGATGCCAGGGATTCTCAACTCTTCCCAGAAGTAGGCTTATGTTAAGGGAGCAGAGGGTCCTTCAGTAGGACAGTGCTTGTCCCCATCTCATTCTGCATTTTGCCTGGTTATCAGTAAAAACTCCAGTGGTGCTATGGACATGGATAAGTACAGGGAACAGTGGAGGCTTCCTGTAGGTGAAGAACTGGGAATCAGTGTCATCAGTACCTGGAGAGAGGTACAGATGGTAGAATGTGGTGCTAGAACAGCCTTTTATCATTGTTTGAAGGATCTAGCTTCATGTAGCACTGTCAGGAGAGTTAATCTTAGGTGAACAGTTCATTTTTATTATTTATATTGTAATTGTGCCTAGAGGCCAGGGCACCATTACACTACACGCAGTACAAATGCATAAGCAAAGGTTGTTCCTGTACAAACAATTTCTTAATTTAAATGTAAAGATAAGACAGCATGTCAATGTAAGAAATGTATTGGGAAAGCACAAGGGAGCTGTGAGAATGCTGTGAGCAAAAGAACATGCAGAAGTTCAAGTACCCTGGCTACCTCAGCACTGGGGAGTGATTCACTGGCATCCGACTTGGGGGATATATTTAAAGCAGGGTAGCACTGTCACCCTGAGGATTTTCACAGAAAGCTGCTTTCCTGCCTGAACTGCCAGGCCAACACTCCTGTTTTCTTCCTTAAGCTTTGACAAGGGGATATCTGTACAGAACAGCAACTCAAATTTAAGAGGTGGAGCGAGGACAGGCCGTGCAGAGCCTTGAAATTTAGAGCAAGGAGGTTGTTCATGCTATGGTGCATCAGGAAGAATACAGAGAACTGTAATCAAAGCAGTGAATGAAGAAAATATTTTTTGTAGTATTGCTTTTCTGCCTTAAAAGGTAGAAAGACTGAATTTATAAAAGTTGAAAAAAGGTAGTAAAGTTGCATTACTAAAGTTGGGACATGATGGAGAAGAAAGAAGCTTTCAGATGCACAGTTAAAAGAGCTCTTGCTAGGATTGTAGAGGAAAAATGGAAATTAGGTGCCACCTCTCTATATGGCCTGAAATCTTGGGAACTTAACTCTTGCTTGGATTATACTTTAAGTTCCAGAGTAGGGAACTGAAGGATAGTAATGTGGTGTAAAAGAAGTTGTAGAGGATGGGTTCTGTTTTAACTGTGTACAAACAGCTTGTTGTTCATGAAAATATATCAGAATAGTATTGTACAGGTGCAGTGAACATTTTTGTCACCAATTTAGGTAGCAGAGCTTTCTTAATCTCTGTAGGTTATAAGCAGGACAAACAGATACAGCTTCTTAGCAAAATTTAGTAGCAGAAGTCTCATTGATTGTGACCCTTTATAGATCAGTGTCTAAGCTCACTTTAAACATTATTTTCAGCATCCATCAGATCTTTATGTTACAAGTTGTTTTTGCAAATGTGTTCAGTTTAAAGCAGTATATAATAAGGCTTTCAAAATTGTAGAGAACATTTTGTGTGTCTTTTTAAATTACCCATTTAAATTACCCATGTTTTCGTTTCTGTAGTAGTTTTTCATTACTTTGGCCAATGTAAACTGCAGTAGGTTTTCAAAGGCCATTGATTTCACATGTGCAGATAGTTTTGAGGACCTTTAAGCATAAGTGTTTTTGCCGGGAAGTGATTATTTGAGAATTTTTATCATCACTTTAGTTGCATTTGCGTTAGGATAGGCCAATATTTAAAGATACCTACTCTCATTTCAATAGAGCCTTAAAATGTTGGATGGAGCTTTATAGCTCAGTTGTGTTTCTTTAGTTCATCACACACCTTCTGTGTGATACTTGTGTCTTTACTTGCCTGCCCTTTTCTCAATTCAAAATTTAACATTTGCAAATGTAAGATGTATGTTGTGTTGTAGAATAAAAATGTTCCTAAACAAGATCACAGTCAGGGGAGGTCATCCCTACCTGGCAAGACAGAAGTTTTTTTGATGGACAAGCTTTGTACAACGATTGCACAGTGAAGGGTTAATGCATTAAAGCAAACACTGGCCTGTACAAGCCACGTGTATCAAACTGCTTGGCCAAAAGCCAGAAGGCACATAGTGGAACACAGAGTGAGGAGGAGATGAGGTGTGAGGATTGAAGTTGGCTCTTTGCAGAACAGGGCTGAGCTTTGTGCCATTTTCTTCAGCAGCCCATGTTCTGTGACTTCCTCCACCGTATTTGAATTGCCAAGCAATTCCCCAACTGCTTTGTGCATTTTTTGCACAGGAGCCTGGCTCACAGTGCTCAAGAGATGAATGATATCTGTATTAATCTTCAGCTTTTCAGTTCTTGATAAGTGCTTGTGTGATGGATAGGCTTTATAGAATTGTTTTGCCGCAAAATTGTTAAAATACAGATTTATGTGGAGGCTTTACTTGTGTCTTAAGGACGAGTGAAGTTAAGCTGAATGCTGGAAATAGATACACAGTTTCCCCAATTTGAAACAGACTTGCTGTGAAAGGACTCTTTGAGACTTTTTTTTTTTTTTTTAAACATTTCAGTTGTTAGTTTCTCTGTGTTTGTATTTAATGATCCATTGAACTTCTGTAGCGCTTGTTATGAAAGGACTTCCAAGAGCTGTCAGCCAGATCAAGTGTGATGGCTGTTTGAAATCTCAACATACTGGTCACAGGGAATGTCTTGCCCAGTTTCTTGGTTGCTACTCTGAGCCATCTACACACCAGACATCTCTTCATCCTGTGTGCAGTGACACTGGAGACTTTTCCCAGCTTAAAAGAATAAAAACACTTCAATTTTCTTGGCTTTGCTTGTGGATTTTTTTTTTTCTTGTTAGCATGTTAACTCCTACTAACTTCTTGTCATTGTTCTTTCTTAAGATAAGTAATTGGAAATGGACATTTCTATTCTTTGTCATCATTTCAGCTCAGAGATGGTTTTCAAAGGCAGTTGGTTTGCTGAAAATAGGTGAACTCTGCCTTTCTCAGGCTGGAGTTGTTTTTAACTCCTTGCACCACAGCAATACTGGAGGGGTAGCAGGGTTATGTATTATCAGGGAAAACAGAATTTCCTTATCCACCACTAATGATCACTCCCTTACACAGAGTTGTTATAAATTAATGCTGTGAAATTAACTTTTCCAGAAATGCTGTCACAGGTACACAAAAATGTTATTAATAGCTAAATAATTAGGTGACTGACAAATCCAGGAAATATTGAAAGCTTTTCTCTTATGTTTAATGTATTTGATCACCAGTTCATAAAATCTGCATGGT